CCGGGACGGGCGGCGCGCGGGCGTCTAAGGGCCGGGACGGGCGGCGCCCGGGCGTCTAAGGGCCGGGACGGGCGGCGCGCGGGCGGCTAGGGGCCGGGACGGGCGGCGCGCCAGAAAAGAAAGAGGCCGCGCGCCCCGAGGCGCGCGCCAAAGTGCAAATCGCCGCGCGCCGTTGGCAGCTGAGGCGAGATTGAAAATGCGTCGCACGCCACGGGGCGTGCGACAGAGCATGTAGCAGCGGAAGCAGTAGTACCCACAGGCCGAGAGCGTAACCGCTCTGAAACCATGTGAAAGAAACTAGAACGAGAATGAATGAACTATGAATGAAGTGAGTACATATAGGAAACCCTGATTGGGTTGTACCCCCTATGGGATACCCCACTATAGCCTATACAAATATATAAGCTATAATGTTCTGACAGGGCGATGCGACGAGCTCCAGGGGGGGCGACGCGATCGTCGACCGGGGGGGATGCGCGGGTACTCGGGGTGACGCGTGAAGTAGGAAGCCGCCACGCGCCTCGGGGCGCACGGCGGACAGAAAACCGCCGCTCGCCCCGCCATGCGCCCCGAGCGCGTGGCGGGAAGAAAAAACAGCGTCGCGCGCCACGGGGCGCGCAACAGACAGAAAAGCAGCAGAAGCAGGTGGGCCCACATGCCAAGAGCGTAACAGCTCTGTTACCATGTCAGAATAGCAGGCAGAACGAGGAGCCATAGCTAGGGTTTAGCTAGCTAGGCAAGAGAAAATAGGCAAAGGAGGGGTTGCACTAGCAAGCATGTGGATACATGTAGGAAACCCTAAAGGGCCGTACTCACTATAGAGTACCCCACTGCAAGCTAGACAAACTACACATTCTGACACTATAGCCTGCACAGGACTAACACATATATAGTTTGACAGTTAGGAGTGCACAGTGATGTTTCAATAATTACTACCGTCATACCCCGGATAGAAGCGCATGCCTCGGATAAGCGCCGGCGCTTATAAAAGGATGACGGCGCTTGTATCCGGTCCTCGAGTATAAGCCCACCCCCCAAAATATATGTTATAAGCGCATGTTGGTTTTTCATTTGAAAATCTGTCGAAATACAGAAACGCATTTTGTCAAAATTCTTAGCAAGGCTTAGGAGCCATAGCTAGTGAGGTAGGAAGTTGAGTTCGAGTTGAAGGAGAAGTGTCGAGAGAATGAGGGGGTTTCACTATAGGTTCAAGGGTACAAATATGAGAGAACAAGCAAGAAAGGTGCACCACCGAATAGGAAAACGCTATAACTACAGTAACCAATCCTACAGGCAGTTATATATAGAAAATATTAAATTATATTTTCCGACACGCCCCCATAACTGGCTGTAGGAGATGAGTATGCAGTTAGCGCCCTCTGAAGGGGTACATCACGATTGCGCAGGAGGAGAAAAGTGTTTCAATAATACCACTCCTCTGGCTCCCCCACACCCTCACACCCTTCCACCCTCCCCCCCAGCAGCAGCTGCAGTAGTGGGAACGAAAGGAGGAGGCGAGCTGGCGCTGGCTGGTCTCCCACTCCATCCCCTCACCCTCCCCCTCCCCCTCCCCTTCCCCCTCCCCCACACACTGCTGCAGGAGCAGCAGAGGGGGGGAAGAGAGGAGAGGTGGAGGGACGGCTGCTGGGTGGTCTCACACCCGCCACCCCAGTGCCACTCCCCGGGCTCCCCCACACCCTCACACCCTCCCCCCCAGCGGCAGCTGCAGCAGCGGGAACAAAAGGAGGAGGAGAGGGGGGGGGGGGGGGGGCAACGCACGGCCTCCCCGGGCGCCAAAGCAGGCGGCAGAGGGGGCGACGCCTCCCCCCCCCTTCCAGGTCGCCCCTCCTGGCACCTGTCGAGGTGACCTGAGGGGGCCGCTTGCGGCCCCCGAAGGAGCCGCGACGGGTGACGGGAAAAGGGGGGGTGGGCGGTGCACGTGCCCCCGGTGTGCCGCGGCTGGCGACGGGGCATGGCCGGGGCGGGGTCGGGGCCGCAAGTGGGCGGGGCCGCAGGTGGCATCGGGGCCGAAGTGGGCGACGGGGCCGCAGGTGGCGACGGGGCCGCAGGTGGCTGGGCCGCAGGTGACGACGGGGCTGGGGCCGCAAGGAGGCGACGGGGCCGGAGGTAGGCAACAGGGCCGGGGCCGCAGGTAGGCGACGGGGCCGGGGCCGAAGGAAGGCGACGGGGCCGGGGCCGCAGTTAGGCGACGGGGCCGTAGGTCCGCAGGTAGGGGATGGGGCCGAGGCCGCAGGTAGGCGACGGGGCCGGGGCCGCAGGAAGGCGACGGGGCCGGGGCCGCAGGTAGGCGACGGGGCCGTAGGGCCGCAGGTAGGCGACGGGGCCGTAGGGCCGCAGGTAGGCGACGGGGCCGGGGCCGCAGGAAGGCGACGGGGCCGGGGCCGCATGTAGGCGACGGGGCCGTAGGGCCGCAGGTAGGCGACGGGGCCGTAGGGCCGCAGGTAGGCGACGGGGCCGCTGAAAGGGCGGCGACGGGACCGCGAAAAGTAGGGCAAGGGGCACGTCACGGGGCGTGCCGAACACAGATTAGCAGCGGAAGCTGTAGGGTGGGCCCACAGGTCAGGACCTTGGTAGCTCTGATAGCATGTCAAAATTCTTAGCAAGGCTTAGGAGCCATAGCTAGTGAGGTAGGAAGTTGAGTTCGAGTTGAAGGAGAAGTGTCGAGAGAATTGACAAAATTAGACTACCGGGACAACGCCCCGGACTACAGGTGCTGCGGACAACAAGCTGGCAGCCTCCACTCAACCTCCCGCAGACAGTCCCACCCCCCTGATACACACCCACTGCTACACCGCTAGCTCCACTCCCACGCACCCCCCTTAAACCCTAAACCCAGTCTCCCACACACCCACCCCCCTCAGCGACAGCTGCAGCAGTGGGAGACGAAGGAGGAGGAGGAGCAAAGGGAGGAATGCACACCGGCCACCCCCATACCCGCCACCCCACAGCTCGCCCCTCCCGTCGTCTGTCGAGGCGACCTGAGGGGGCCGCTTGCGGCGACGGGGGGGGGGGGGGGGGGGGGGGGGGCGGGGCCGCGACGAGTAGGGCGACGGGCCGCGAAGGAAAGCGGCGGGGCCGCGATGATGGGGCGGCGGGGCCGCGACAGGTCGGTGGCGGGGCCGCGACAGAAGGTGGCGCGGCCGCGACCGGAGGTGGCGGGGCCGCGACAGGTTGGTGGCGGGGCCGCGATGGTGGGGCGGCGGGGCCGCGACAGGTCGGTGGCGGGGCCGCGATGGTGGGGCGGCGGGGCCACGACGGGTCCCCGTCGCCCGTCGCGGCGCCTCCAGAGGGCGACGCGGCGAACGGCGGGGCAGAAGCCCGCCGCGCGCCTCGGGGCGCACAGCGGGCAGAGAACCGCCGCGCGCCTCGGGGCGCACGGCGGGCAGAAAACCGCCGCGCGCCTCGGGGCGCACGGCGGGCAGAAAACCGCCGCGCGCCTCGGGGCGCACGGCGGGAAGAAAAAATGGTAGCGGAAGCGTGGAGGTGGTTTTCATTTTATAAGCGCCGGCGCGTATAAAATTCCTCGATTATAAGCGCACCCCCTAAAAAACAGCGTTTTTTTATTTCCCCAGGGGCGCTTCTATACGGGGTATGACGGTATTCGTAACAGTTCCTATAATCCAGACTAGCTCTGATACCATGTTAGAGTAAAGGACCTTTGGATAGGATAGGAATGCCTTAGAAGAGTTTAGTAGCGGAAGTCTTAGTTGTAGGAACTCTGATCATAATGAATGTAGATGACAAAGTTGATTAAAATAGAGATTACACACATAATGAATTGTTCCTAGCTAGCCATGTATTCTGAGGGGTATATTCCCTTATTCTAACTGTTTTACAGGCATTTCTACAGTGACTCTGACTGTTGTACTACTTTCTTGTTGTTGAGTCGCTGCATGTAACATGTACATACGGTTACGTCTGTTGCTATTCCTCAATGGTAAGTCAAACGTCGGTCCAGATGGTCAACAGTCACGACAGTTGACTCTTGCGACTCTTAAGTGTAATTCCCTTCATGCTCCATTATACCGTACATAATGGTGTACATAATTGTGGTATGCATGATTGTAGTGGGTCCATGGCAATGAAATGTTGCCCATGTGCTAGATTGGTAACGCTGATTGGGAGGGGAACATACTCGCCTTGTATGAATTACATGAAATGTTGCCTTTCGTTGTAGGATGGTGGTCGTTCATCTGTACATTTTTCACCCAACTCTTGACTCATTACAACACCAAAATAATGAAGGTGCATGCCTTGCTGGCGACAGCACTATCGTTGTTGCTACTGCAGGTGGCTCCCCATATCTCCGAGCCTTGTTGTTACATGCCACAGTGGTACAGTCGAGGTTGGGTGGTGAAGTGAATAAAATCTCTTAAGAAATTCAGCAGTTAGATCGGAGTTACTAGAGTATTGTTGTGGTATCATCTTAAGTGAATGTTACTGTAGCATAGTACCGTTTCAGAGTCGATTCGAAAAAAACCTCAGCGATGGCTTATACTGGGCTACCATCCTAAAATCAAGCTAACATCTCATAAAAGTGGCCAACGGAGCTACCAAAACTGCTGGAAATAATGCTGCCGTTGATTGGCTCGCGGCGCCTGGCGTCAGTGGATTTTATCAAGCAACCTGTCAGTCACTCCCATCCCATCACAGGCAACAGAAAATCTGGCTTTGGTTTGGTGCTCTGATCTGCTGTGCCCCATTCTGCTTCATCGCCTTTCTTACACCAGTCACAAACAAACTTCCACGCGTAGAGCTCAAAAGGAACCACTTCACGCGCTGAATGATATCAAGAGGGAGTCTCGCCTACGGCCTCGTACTTTGCGAAATATATCCAACTCATAGGTCGACGAGCCCTGTTGTCGTGGAGCGTACTCTTAATTTAACCCATTGTTACTCTCGTTAGAGTCACATTCTAGAATGAAACAGGAGCAGCACCAGGTAGCGAGCACGGATCACGTGCGTCTGTGCGTCAAGACATGGCCGGCGCGGCCGAGCTTCGACGGCGGGGAGTACGAGCAGCAGCAGAAGCAGGCGCTGCTGGCAGTGATCGTGCATCCCTACTCGCGCATGGGCGGCTCGCAGGCCGTTACACAGGGCCTGGCGGAATGCCTTTGTCTGCGCGGGTTCAAGTGAGTTTCCGAGCATTTGCCTTCGAGTCTTCTGAGGCTAAATCAGTAGCAGGCGTTGCTGCTGGCGGCGACGCGCTGCAGGACCGGGTTGCGGAATGCCGCCTTGCCTCCACGGGTTTAAGTATGTGGGGCTTTAGGAAGCGCATTCTTAGATCAACCACTTGTTATGCACAAATCATTCCAGTGCGGCGCTGAAACGTTAGGCTTTCCCGTTACAGCCGTTGACACTGCTGACGTGCGCAGATGGCATCCGCGCTCGACTAGGAGGCGCGGCTAGCCAAACCTTTGTGTATTAGGAAGGCGAGTTGGGCGCGGGATGAACGGAGACACCACGCGAGTTCTTAATGCAAGCTCGTTACAGCACGCGGTGTTACAATGTAGGTCCGCCTCCTCTCCTCCCCTCCTTCCTTTATCTCCTCTCCCCTTCTCCTACCCTCGCGCGCCACCAACCGCTCGTTCCCTGAACCCTTCGCCATTCGAGGAGCCGCAGAAGCCTCCGCCATCCAGCGGCGGCGGCGCAGGCCGCCGTCAGAAGCCTCCCCCATTGTGGCGGCGTTTGAAAGGACAGGCGCTGGCAAACCATCCAGCGAACCGACCAGCTGATTTCCTTCCTCACTACCTTCTTCCCATACTTCCCAAACGCCCCTCACGCCACACACCCGTCAGCGTCGCAACGTTCGACCTGAGGGCACGTGCCAGCCAGCTGGTTTCCTCTCTCATCGCCATCTCTCCCCTCCCCCCCCCCCTCTCTCCTCCTCTTTCCCCCTCCTCCTCCCCCTTCCCCACACCCTCGCTCCCCACACCCGACAGCGTGGTGACGTTCGACCTGCGGGGCGCGGGCAGGTCGACGGGGCACGCATCGTTCACGGGCGAGCCCGAGGTGGCGGACGTCATGGCCGTGTGCCGCTGGGCGGGGGAGAAGTACGCCCAACGCATACTGCTGCTGGGGTCGTCCGCAGGTGAGCGTGTGCTGCTGCTGAGCGCGTGGTGAGCGCAGGTAAGGGAGTGGTGAGCGTGGTGGTCGCCCGCAGGTGAGCGCGTGGTGCGTCTGCAGGTAAGGGAGTGGTGCAGGCTTCAAAACCCCCCCGGCCTATGAAACAGGCTAGTATGGAATCTGGCCGTGCCACAACCTCTTCATCACTGGCCGTGCCACAACCTCTTCATCACTGGCCGTGCCACAACCTCTTCATCACTGGGGCGTATTCCGCACTCAGATGTCCCTCGCACCCACTCCTATCTCCCATCCTCTCCGCCCCTTCCTCCACCCCCTTCCCCCTCCCCCCTACCTGTCTTTCCCTTTTTCGCTCTTCTCCCACCCTCTCCCTCCCTCCCCAACATGCAGGAGCCTCCGCTGCTGGCTCGGCGCTGCTGCACTGCCCGCAGGTGGACCTGTATGGCATCGGCTTCCCCTGGCCCCACACCCACCCTTGTTTCTCTCCCATTCTTTTCCCCTTCATCCCCTCCCTCCGCCCCCCACTTCATCCCCTCTCTCCCCATCTGCAGGAGCGCCCATTGCAGGCCCAGCCCTGCAGCACTGCCCGCAGGTCGACCTGTAAGTGGGCGTCGGTTTCCCCTGACCCCTCACACCCACCCTTTCTCCCATCCTCTCCCCCCTCCTCATCCCCCTCTTCCCCGCGCAGGAGCACCCATTGCAGGCTCAGCCCTGCCGCACTGCCCCCAAGTCGACCTGTACGTGGGCGTGGGCTACACCTTTGGCTTCTTCTCCTCGCTGCTCTTCGGTTCGCATTTCTCCACCGTGCTCGCCTGGCCGGGCCCCAAGCTCTTCATCATGGGCGCTAAAGACGAGTTCACGAGCATTAAGCAGCTGGAGGCGCGGGTGGGGAAGGCGGTGGGCGTGGCGAAGGTGAGCATTGTGGAGGGCGTGGGGCACTTTGGGCTGGAGGGGCCCGCGTATGACGAGGAGGTGGCCAAGCGCGTGGGGGAGTTTGTCGTTGAGAACGCCGGTGGTGGTGTTGCTGCTGGTGGTGCTGCTGGTGGCGGTGGTGGAGAAGGGGGTTCTGGTGGGGAGGAGGGGATCAAGGAGAGTGATAGCTAGGTGTTGCTGTAGAGGAGCTGATGTAAGACGACGGCTAGAATTTTGTCGGGGAGTTCATTCATTGCTCAGCTGGTGTTTGGGGATGGTGGGGAGGGGACAGTTGCTATGGGGAAATTCGATAAATAGAGCAGTCGCATGGTAATGATATATATGCTGCCTGAGAGTGCTCTCTTGGCATCTGATTTGGGCATTTAGTTATTGTTTAACAATTAGGTAAATTAATAGTTTCCTTCACCCCTTTTTGTGTAAGCTAGTATGGAAGGGATTCTTTCAAGTGATGTATTTTCCTGCATATTTACCTTGCCGCTTATCTATCCCACTCCCTTCTCATAGTATTTAATATTAGCCTTCTCCTTTTATGGGAGAGAGGAACCCTTACAAACAACATTTTAGAGAGTAACCTTTAAAAATTTTCGTTTTACTCGATGGGTATATTCTTAGGCTTACTGTAGCTGGACCCAACAGCCCTGCCCCGACAACTCCACGTTCCCGCGTCTCCCACAAACGCTACCCGTTGCACTTAAGCGGCTTGTCCGCACATGCCACACACACAACAAACAGTGCAGAGCAGATGCACCCACCCCGCGCCAGCCTCAGTATACTCGCTAGTGTAAATACCGCACGCACCGCACATAGTCCTCGCGTTGCGCTTTAGCATGTTGCGCCAGCGACGCGTCCCACCTCCGCTATCGTTCCCCGTTCCCCCTACGTTTCGCGTCTCGCGAGTGACGCGTGTCAGTGACAATCGTGGCAATTTAGCTAGCTCGCAGGCGCTTGCCGTGATCCGCAAAATGCTTCAGAGAGGCTCGTGTCGCGTCGAGGCGAGAGCACCAGAGACGAGACCAGCACCGGGGTGTGAGCGAGCAGCGGCGCGGCACAGCGGAGGGAGTAGCAGACTTGTAGGGAACATGTAGTAGCGACCGCCACTCGCTTGCACCATGTCAGGTCAGTCCCGCTCCACCGCTCTCCACCGCTCTGCCCGCCCTTCGGAAGAGAGCAACAGCCGTGAAACCGCATGGTACCGCTCTTCACCGCTGCCGTAGCGCCCCTCGTCGCTCTCTCCGTCGAGACCCGTGTCGCTGCACGGTCGCGCGGCGCGGAAGGAAAGGTGTTCCGCGAAGGCGGAAACCACCCGCGGCGTGCTCCGGAGTGCGCGCAACGGCGGTGCTGCCTGGGGGAAATGCGTTGCGCCAGCTCGAGTCTGCCCCTCTTTCTACAGGGATCGCGGCGCTTGCGTCCTCCCCGCTCCTCCCCCTCGCCCTCCCGCACCTACCTCTTTCCGCCCTCTCTCCCGGCAAAGCCTGCCCCTCCGCGGCCCTCCCCTCGCGCGCATGTCCCCCGCAAGCCTGCGCCAGTGCATCTCGAGGTTCCTCATGCGCGTCCCCTTTCCCCCCTTCCCCCCACCTCTCCCTCTCTCCCCCCTCTCAACCACACCTTCTCGCGCGCCTCCCGCCACGTCCATGTTTCCCCATGCGCCCATGCGCCCATGCGCCCATGCGCTGCCTATGCGCCCATGCGCCCAGGTGCCCACTACCTTCTTTCCACGAGCCCCTCTCCCCCCAGCATGCGCCAGTGCGTTATAGGTTGCCTGCCTTAGCTCCACTTTCCCGGCCCCCTTCCCCTCTCAGTCTTCCATCCCTCCTCCCCCGTTCACCCTTTTGCCTTCACCAGGCCGCCTGCGCCAGTGCATTGCTCCGCGGGTGGCGTGCGGATTCGCCTCCAGCAGCGACGATGAGGGGGAGGGGGGCGACGCTGGGCACCCCAGGGGGCGCGGAAGGAGGGGGGGCGGAGGGGGGAAGGGGAAGGGGAGGCGCGGAGCACCCGGGGGGCATGGTGGCGCGGGGGGGAGCTCCCGCCACCCGTCCCTGCGGATTGGCCCGCCAATGGACGTGCGCCAGGTGGCATATCCACACGAGCCTGCCACGTTGGACCCCCTGAATGGCGGCCTGGGGGCCATGGGCATGGGCATGGGGATGGGGATGGGGATGGGGATGGGGATGGGGATGGGGGGAGTGCAGGGACAGCTGGTGACGCTGGCGCTGCCGATAGTGAGCTACAGCAGGTGCGTGGCTCTGCCTGTCTGGAGTCCACAATGGTTCCTCCTCTCTCTCGCTCTCCTCCTGCCCACCACTTCATCCTTCCCCACCATCCACTCCACTGCTGCTCTCCCTCACATCTATCACTCTCTGCCCCACTATACCAACACCCCCAACCCCCTCCACTCTCCGGCTCTGTGTGGGCAGCAAGATAGCGCTGGGCGTGGTTGGGGAGGCCCCTCCTGTGCCAACATCTCTCCAACATTCCATGGCATGCCTCCCCAACCCCCCCCATCCCCTCCCCCCTTTCCCTCCCCCTTTCCCTCCCCCCTTTCCCTCCCCCCTTTCCCTCCCCCTTTCCCTCCCCCTTTCCCTCCCCCTTTCCCTCCCCCTTTCCCTCCCCCTTTCCCTCCCCCTTTCCCTCCCCCTTTCCCTCCCCCTTTCCCTCCCCCTTTCCCTCTCCCTTCCTTTCCCTCCCCCTTTCCCTCCCCCTTTCCCTCCCCCTTTCCCTCCCCCTTTTGTTAGAATTCAAGAATATTTTATTAATGAGCCAAGGAGGCTCTATAGTACAAGCATGAAAAGAAGAGAAGAGTGGAGGAGGAGCTATCCCTATTGGCCACTAAGTTGGCCAATGGGTGAGGTGCCTTGTGGAATAGGAAACCCCACAATGTAGCTAGGTTGTGATTGGTTGGTGTTAGGACCAAAAGTTGGCAAGTGCCAACCAAGGACCAAGACCAAATCCAATCTTGACCAACCACAAAGTGTGGTTGGAGTGTACACCCAACCCTCCAAGAACATAAGGGACTACACCTATTCTAGCCTATGAATGTTGTATATAATGTACATTTACAACACAACCCCCCAACATGCATAAGGCTAGAAGATGTAATTAGGAGGCCGTCAAAACCGGAGGAGGGGTGAGGCCAAGGAGACGTAGAAGGAAGGAGTGGGATGCTTGGGGAAGGGCTTTGGTGAAGATGTCAGCGAGGTTGGCCGCCGAGTCGATTTTGCCTAGGCGAATGTGGCTGGCCTCAACGAGATCGCGAATGAAGAAGTAGCGAAGCTCAATGTGTTTGGAGCGCCCATGATACACAACATCCGTGGTGAGGTGGATGGTGCTGGCGTTGTCACACCAGATGGTGGGACATCGTTGGGGGGCTCCAAGCTCATCAAGGAGGAAGGTGAGCCAGCGTGCTTCTTGCGCGGCCATGGTTGCAGCGTAGAGCTCTGCTTCGCAGGAGGAGAGGGCGACAGCAGAGGAGCGTGTGGACCGCCAGCTGATAAGACCGCTGCCCAGAGAGAAACCATAACCTTGAGAGGATCGCCGATCCGGTCGTGAATCAGCCCAGGAAGAGTCGCTGTAGCCGCTGAGGAGGGGTGGGGAAGGGCCGCCAAGGGTAAGGACATAGTCCTTGGTGCCACGAACGTAGCGAAGGACGCGCTTGGCGGCCTGCCAGTGCTCTTCCGTATGCTTGCCAGCGCCAACGAACCGAGCTAGGACGCTGATGGGGTAGGCAAGGTCAGGGCGAGTGGAAACCATGGCGTACATGAGAGAGCCGATGAGTTCAGGATAAGGATGGGAGGAGGGAGAGGGGGAGGAGTGTGGGGAGAGGTTGTGCCCAACCGAGAGGGGAGTGGGCTGGGGGTTGCCGCGCGCCATTTCAAACCGGTCCAAAACTTGCTGGAGGTAGTGACCCTGAGAGAGAGAGAGATGGTGCGGGCGGAGCGGTCGCGAGTGATGGTCATGCCGAGGTAGTGCTGCAGCTCGCCCAGGTCTTTGCACTTGAGACGGCTGCCCAGCTCCGTCTTGACACTCTCGAGCTCGGCAAGATCGGCAGTGAGGAGAATCATATCGTCAACATAGACGAGGATGTAGAAGGGGGAGGGGGAGGTATGGAGGAAGAGGCTGGCGTCAGAGCGGGAGGTGCGAAACCCAAGCTCAGCAAGGGTGGCAGCAAGCTTGGCATGCCATTCCCTGGGTGCCTGGCGGAGCCCGTACACTGGGCGGCGCAGCTGCCATACGGTGTGAGGATCTAGGATCGAGCTCAGAAAAGAGAATGTGAATTGAATCGAATTGAATGATCACCTGTGTACAACACGAGGCTATATATAGGCTCGACACAAAGCCCCGTAACCAGGTGTTACGCGAAGGTTCCGCGGGCCGCGTAGCGTCCCGAACGGATCCTTACCGAATTCGGTAGAAGGCAATTCGGTGGCAACCGAAAAGGCCAGAATTCGGTGCACGCAACCTAGCTCGGTGCTATAACTATAATAAAATATAGGAAAGCACCTAGCCTAGGAAATCAAGCAATTCATGCATGCATATGATTATCCTATGCTAGAAATAGCATGATAAAGTAAAGGCAAGCAAGCATAGCTGGCATAAGCCGTCGTACTTTCACACGTCCCCCCCTCAAAGCTGGGTGGCGTGAGATACACCCTGCTTGACAAGATAGTCCTTGAGAGCACGGCGTGCATTGCCATATCAGCTTCTGCAACCCAACTGTCCTCAGTGGGGTCGTATCCCTTCCAGCGTATCAGGAACTCGAGGGTCTTGCCGCCGCGGCGCCGATGAGTGAGAACACGTTCCACTTCGTACTCTGGTTCATCCTGTACGAGAACCGGTGGTGGTGGCGGTAGCTGCCGTCCCTGGAACTGTTGGTTGGGGTCCTTGTAGGGCTTCAGTATCTGAACATGGAAAGCATTGTGAAGCTTCCATGTATCTAGTAAGCGCAAGCGGAATGTAACTGGTGTCACCTGTGCCTCAACGAGAAAAAGACCACAGAAGCGAGGTCGGAGTTTGGATGGGAGGTGAGACAGGTTCAAGTTGCGCGTGTCAAGAAGCACCTGATCTCCGACTGCTACTGAGTAATCACGTCGCTGACGATCGGCATACTGCTTCTGGGAGGTCTGCATCGTGGTGAGTCGTCGCTGAGTCTTCTCCTATAGCTGCTGCATGGTGGTGACTAGGTATGATCAAATGACCCGACCCGACCCGACCCGACCCGACTTTGGCGGGCCAGCCGGGTTCCGGGTCGGGTCGGGTCGGGTCGGAACTTTTGAGATCTCTGGCCCGACCCGGGTATCGGGTGCCGGGTCAGGCTTGACCCGCCCCCGGGTCGGGTCGGGTCGGGGCCGGGTCGGGTCGGGTCGGGCCGACTCCCATAGGCAGGGTTAGAGGTTCTCCTTAATAATGTGTAGGGGCGCGGGTCTAGCGACCTGCGCCTGCACGGCGCGCCGAGATGCCCTAAAACGCGGGCCTGCAATGCGCGCGCCTAGGGTGGGAGCGCGACCTGTAAATTTCGGATTTAAAAGAAACCCTAGGATGGATGGCGCGAAGTGCGAAGTGCGATTGGCTGAGTACTAACTAAACATTATCGTGGGTTCAAGGGTAGATTAGTACGCCAATGTTGCTTGGTGGGTGGCTGCTGGCGTCACTAGCTAGTTAACCTAACTTAATCCAGATCGAAATGCTAGTTGCTGGGAAAACAAGCAAGCGCGATTGCGATCTGGATAACATTGTCGAGAGGAAACCCTCGGGTCGGGCCAGATACCCAACCCGAGATAGGGCGCGGTACCCGAAACCGGGTCGAGTCCATACTCGGGTCAAAACCCGACCCGACCCGACCCGACCCGGAATCGGGTCACGGGTCGACCGGACCCGGCCGGGTATACCCGACCCGACCCGGCCGGGTATACCCGACCCGACCCGGCCGGGTCAGTGGTTCAGAACTCCTGACCCGACCCGGGTCAAAACCCGGGTCGGGTCGGGTCGACCCGACCCGTCGGGTCCCTATGCTCATCCCTAGTGGTGACGAAGTCATGTGCGGCTTGGACGTGTGCCGGTGTAGTTGGCTGCTGTGGTGTGAGTGGTTCCCGTCCGTAACACAGGAAGAAAGGAGTTTTCCCTGTGGCCGCATGTGATGCGTTGTTGTAAGCGAACTCGAGGGTCGGTAACTGTGTGTCCCAGTGGCTGACGTCGTCTTTGCAAGCTGTGCGCAGTAACTGTTCAACCACTTGATTGAGTCGCTCTGTCTGTCCGTCAGTCTGGGGGTGGTATGTTGAAGACATTGCAAACTTTGTCCCTAACAGTCCCATGAGCTCCTTCCAGAACTTACTTGTGAATTTTGGGTCTCTGTCTGAGATGAGTGTAGCGGGGATGCCGTCGATGGTGATGATGCGGTCGAAGAAGAGGCGAGCAGTTGCTTCAGCTGTAGCTGTGGCGTTGGTCGGTATGAAGTGACCCATTTTGGAGAACTTATCGATGACTACGAAGATGGAATCGTGCCACCGTGAGGTCGAAGGAAGTCCTGTGATAAAGTCGAGGCTAACGACCTGCCATGGCTGCTCCGGTACGGGTAGAGGCTGAAGTAACCCTGCTTTTTTCTGCTTGCTACTCTTCATCCGCTGGCACGTGTCGCAAGAGGTGACGAACTGCTGCACGTCTGCTGCCATCCCGGGCCAGTAGTAATACTTCGCTATCCCTGCTAACTACTTGTTGCTCCCGAAATGTCCCGCGTAAGGTACGTCGTGAAACTCCTCCAATAGGATCTGCCGTAGCGGGGCGTAATTCGGTACCCAAATCTTTCCTGAACCCTTCCTTACAGCTAAGTCTTTCTCCCACTGTAACAGCTTCTGTTTCTCTGCCGTTGCTATCTCGCCGTCCACGGAGTACCCATGTTGGAATAGACCCTTGAGCAGAGGGTTCATCCCGTCGAGCTGGATGCCTGCTACATGTCCGGGGCGGCTCAAAGCGTCTGCCTTGTTGTGTAGCCCGGGCTTGTAGACGATGTCGTAGTGGAAGTGAGTTTCTAGGTAGTCCACCCATCGCACCTGTCGTCGTGAAAGCGTCGGCTGCGACTTTAGGTATTTGAGACTGCAGTGGTGAGTAAATAAGAACGTCGTCCAGGTACACCACTATGCACTCGTCCAGTAGGGGTCGTAAGATGTGATTCATCTCCGCCTGAAACGTTGCTGGTGCGTTGCAGAGTCCGAACGGCATCACCAAGTATTCGTAGGAGCCGTATCTGGTACGGAACGCCTTCTTGTGGACCGAGTTGTCCGCCATCTTGATCTGCCAATAACCCGACCGTAGGTCCAACTTCGAGAAGACTGTTGCACCACGCAGGTGGTCCAATAGGTCGTCTATGCGCGGTATGGGGTATTTGTTTTTAACTCTCTGTTTGTTCAGTGCATGGTAGTCGATGCACATCCGTAGACTGCCGTCTGGTTTTTGAGTGAAGAGAACTGGTGCACCGTAAGGAGAGGTGGATGGGCGGATCAGTTGTGTGTCCAGTAGATACTCTATCTGTTTTTTCATGTCTGTCAGTTCGGTCGGACTCAGTCGGTATGGTGCACGTGAGACGGGTTTCGCACCTGGTTCCTCCACGATCTCGTGCTCGTGGGTGCGTGCTGGAAGTACTTCTACGGGTAGGTCGTCGGGCATCATATCTTTGTACTGCTCCAAGACCTCCTTCACTGCTGCAGGTAGCTCCGAACCCGGCTTCTCCTTCTCTGCTGCTGCC